CTCGCGAAGTGCACACGTGGCAGCAAGTTCTCGAGGGTTCACACCACCACCGGGTATATTCCACCTGTCACCCTTTTTGTTACTTACAAGTTACAAGCAGAACCTAGAAGAGCAGAATACGAAGGGGAAAGGAGACACGCATGTATGATGTACATGTTTGTACCAGTCTGTTGCAGGAATGCAGCACAGCTCACTTACAAAACAAAATGCAGAGAAAGAGAGAGAGAGGGAGAGAAAGAGATGGGGATGTGTCTTTCTAGTTGTACAAGTACTAGTAGATGGTAGGATTGGGTGTGCGGCTTCCTGCCAACTGACACTTGCCTGACTGCCAGTCGTCTGAAGCACAGGAGAAAGCGCCAGACAGCCGTTGCAACTCATATTGAGCCCAACAAGTGTCAGTTAGTCGGTAGGAAGCGTGGATTCCAGCTTAACTTAAAGGGGAAGTTAAGCCTAAAATCAAATTGTCACCAGTTGTAGTCTTCGGGGTGCCGAGTCGAATGGTCTTGGTCCGAGGAAGCTGAGACGCTCCATTCCTCCTTTATTCCCAATCGAACTCACGCACTTCCACCGAAACTGGGTGACTGCGCCCTACTAGATGGGGATTTGTATGCAAAATGTCACTAAAAGCGCCATTTTGTTCTTATAAATGCACGGATGATCACGATTGGCCCATATGTTGTAGTCTTTTGGACGCTGAGTCGACTGGTTTTGGTCCGAGAATGCTGCGATGCAGCGTTCCTCCTTTATTCCCAATCGAACATGGTCGAACAACCGGTCACGTGCTCCTGCGTACAACAGTCACCTGGTCACTGTACCTAGCCTAGCGCCTGCAGGGTACAACTTACCGCCTGTTTGACCTTTTTTGGGTGCGCTCCTGTCACTCGAGTTGAACTCGAGTTGAACCTTGGTGTGAAAGTAAGTTGTCGCCTGCTGGCACGGTGACCAGGTGACTTTGGGTGCTCAAATAATTTAATTTTTCGACATCGGCAAACTTGATGTACCCATGCCACTAAAAGTACCATAACTTTTGCGACCAATTGTCCGATGTACGCAAATGACGGCCCATTGGAAAGGTCTTGAGCGAGGCTATTTATTGACATGTGATTGAATTTGATATTTAGAAAACTGTATTGTACTCAAATTCTGAACGAGGAAATGGTAATGTTCATAAACCAGACTTTTGAATGTGATTTTTGGTAGCGCAACTATCAGATTTTTCCAACTGATTTTTTGCTTTCAACTCGCTGTCACTCGCTGTCACTACATGTACTTCCTCCGCGTCATTAAAATTGTCGCTTCGCACATCGCAATGTTTGTGACTTGGCTCGTCTTAGTCAGACTGTCGGAATCGCTGTTTTCTGTGTTCGAACATTGGTGCGACCCTTCCTGCGCAATGTCTACTTGTTACTGAAGCCGTTGTGGTCTCGAATGCTGAGCTCTCTTCCGCACCAAGCAAATTCATCGCGCTCTGCACCATTCCGCCCCAGAGCGCATATCGTTTTTCTGGAGTTCGTGCCGTCCCACATCGTTCGCGTGGGCATTTTATAAAGACTGCAAGCTCGAGTATAAGGATCCTGGTATCCCTCCTGAATACGAAATGCTGAGGTTCACAATGGCAAGAACAAAGTGTTCTAACTGATGTTTTGCTTTCAACTCGCTGTCACTACTTGTACTTGATCATAGTTCACTGTGTTATTACAATGTCATGTACTTCCAAGTACATGATGATTGTACTTTCATGTGCCAGGACAGAGTAGGGTCCGGCGGATTCTGCCGGCAGAAAAATTGGCAGAATTCGGTACTTTTTCTGGTAAGTTTCATGCATGTTTGGTATGTGGATAAAGAAATGGAGCAGAATTCGAGGAATTGCCCGCCATAAGGTTTGTATGGTTCCGCCAATTTCACTTCTTTTCGAGCAGAATCTGCCACCCGTTTTCGAGCAGAATCTGCCACCCGTTTTCGAGCAGAATCCGCTGGTCCCTAGGACAGAGGGTTATCCATTATTGTCATGGCCTCGACTTGTTCTATTCTGATTTTCCGGGAACATTCCAATCAGTTGTTCCGCCAAACCGAATGAAAACGATTATTCACGAAAGTGTACTAATCTGTTGTTTCGGGTTCTCGAAACCCAAATTATGCCACGGCTTCTAAAGGCGTTGCTGCCCCCTCGACTCCCTGCCATTGAACACCTCAGACACTGTTTCTGATTTCTGCCAACAGAAAAGTGGCAGCCCTCTGCTACTATCCTGTTTGTGAAGCTACCACCATCCATTGCACTTGCTTCCTCTAATACCTGTTTCTACACTTCTCCACTTACCAGAAGCAAGAGTATGCTCTTGGGAGTTTATTTTTGCCAGAAGTTGTAAGGGTAGTTTTGCCTTCTTGCCTATTTATTATTTAATATGTGAACATATTGTAAGTTGTTACTAGTACTGCAAAGTGCATTAGTCAAATTAAAACTGTTTTCGTGATAAGATCTAGCAAGAGCAGTGTACTCTTGGATCTAGTTTAAAGAGAAAGTACATTTTGTCCTCCAAAGGGAGGGGTATGCTTGGGATTCATGGTTGCTCCATCCTACAGAACAGGTCCTACATTTTCCCTTGACTTGGTAAATCATGGTAAATAGCGCACTAAAAATCAAGATATCAACCATCCATGCATCACATACACAGGAATAATGGCGCACTAGCCAGTGGCTAGAGCGTGTTAGCGCCGCATGAACACCTGCCAGCTGGCAGCTTGATTACACTAATCAATCACGCAGATTCACGTCGCTAATCAGTAATCTACAGCGCAGCTCCGAAACCGGGCCAAGAGAGGTTGCAGCTCACACCTCGTATTTCTTCTGCTCCAAACTTTTCCCACGTGCCTTGCTTTGAGTGTTGCCTTTGTGAAAGTAGAGTTCGCTGCTGTTGCCTGGCTTTCACAGTTTTGCTCCTTGCTTTTTCTTCCCCACCAACACCCACCCTATAGCTGTTGCTCTACGTTAACATGTTGCTATATTCTCTGCAGCCTATGTGGTCTGCACTTGCATCCGCTGTAACTTGCCATATTCAATTCTTTTTAAAAAAACCATACAAATAAAATAAAACATTGGGGAGTGCGGCTGTTCGCTCACAACTGGTTTGCCCTGTTTGCTTGCTTGCGACTCAGTTGCAGAGTCATTGCCTGTTCGCGACTCAGCAGAGTCTTTTCGCGTTGCGACTCATTTGCCGAGTCACGTGACATTGCACCAGTTGTTCGAATCCAGCACTCCACCTATCCAATTTAACTCAACCAGACTATTCTGTGTGTGCTCGTTCATGCGTGTGGTCCGCATGCAGGCGCATGGACATGTCCGGCTGTGTGAAGCACGGGCTAATGCATTATTCGGTTCTTTGGTGAAATGTTGGAGCACCCCCCCCCCCCCCCTCATTCCGGATCCTGCGTAGATCTACGTCCCTGTCGACAGCTTTCAGGCACCTATGACGGTGTCCCGTCACTTCGGAGCGTGACGTCTCGTCGCGCGACATTTCGAAGCGGTCATTTCGAAGACAGTCAGTTAGGAACGGGGACACTTCGGAGTGTGTCAAATTCGGCGCCAGACGATTCGACGAGAACCAGTTCGGAGAATGGCCACGACATCGCCTGTTCATTTCGTCGTCACACCCGCTTTTGCTGGGAGAAAAATCGCACTTCTTTTCGCCTGTTCATTTCACGACTCCCTGCATGGTTTGAACTTTTCGCCTGTTCATTTCACGACTCCCTGGTTTGAACTTTTCACCTCACCCTGGGTGGTTCCTTCACACGATAGAATACTTTCGCCGTCGACATAGATTAGAGACGAGCGGGGATCGGTACGTATTAATGACCACTGGGGCCAGTGCCGGGCAGAGATGGCGGATGTTCAGGAGGCAGGCTTTGCGGTTCAGCCGGTTGAAGGCAAGGAGCACTCCATCCACGTCCGGATTGTGAAAGGTGTCGTTCATGGCGTGTATAGCGGCCTCGATCCCACTCGGTTGGCCAGCACAGAGCTGAAGAGTGCCTGCGGGCCGCGGCAGACTGCACAAGGTCCCCAGTCACTGCAAGGATCCTGGATGGCCTTGCCCAGTATTCTGCGGACCGTCTCTACAATGCCTATGGCCCTATGGGCCTAACGCCAGGCTTCTTGTCCAGCGGGATCAGCCTGGCAGCAGTAAATACCTCTAGTCTAGGGCTGTTGGATCGACGTAAGCCGTGGCACTGCGGCGGGCACAGTTAGCCAAGCTATCACACAGCTCATCCGAGGCACCAGAAAACGCAGTTGTCGGGAATTGCACTGGACCATCAGGTTACGTCTCCGGCAAGATCAAGCGCAGAGGTCTTCGCTGGATACTGCAAACTGTACTAGTATAGTACTAGTAAGTGCGTTCGTCGTTGACAAGACTCGAGCTGAAATGAAGTAACATAGTTGCTTTCTGCAGGTGCAACTGGAAAGAAGGTTGATCATGACATGTAGCGGGTAATTTGCAACACTCCAGGTCATGCGGCAAAATATCGAGGCGAGCGGAGCAAAGAGAATCCCGCCCCCCCCCCCCAAAAAAGAGAAGAAAAAGCGATGACATCGACATACGACGGTTCTACGTCACTTAGGAGCGGGACATTTCGACGAGCGTCAGTTCGAAGAGGTCATATCGTCGAGAACCGTCTCGTCGCGGACACATTTCGAAACCCGTCACTTCGAGGTCCCGTCACTTCGGAGCGTGACGTCTCGTTGCGCGACATTTCGAAGACAGTCAGTTAGGAACGGGGAAACTTCGGAGTGTGTCAAATTCGGCGCCAGACGATTCGACGAGAACCAGTTCGGAGAATGGCCACGACATCGCCTGTTCATTTCGTCGTCACACCCGCTTTTGATGGGAGAAGAATCGCACCTCTTTTCGCCTGTTCATTTCACGACTCCCTGGTTTTAACTTTACACCTTCGTCCTTCAAAAGCAATGTCACCAGACTAATTACCACAGATTCTTGTCGAGGTCGACGATGGCTGAGGAACAACCCGACTATGTTGGCATCACAAGCCGAGGAAGACCGAAGCTGGTTAAATTCGGCTATGGATACGTGCAGGACAAGCGAGGTCGAGACGAGATTGTCTACTGGAAATGCGAGAGCTGCGACGAGTTTGCATGTAACGGACGATTGAGGACAGACGCCGGATTGATAGTAGCTTATGTTGGGAGCCACAATCACGCTCCAGATGCAACCAGAGCTGAGGTTGTGAAGGCGCTCACGGACGTGAAGGAGAAAGCCAAATCCTCCCAAGACTCCAGTCACCACATTGTGACGTCTGCAACCAACGCTGTATCGCAGGAAGCCGTGGTACAACTCCCATCGGGCAACGCATTGAAACGCAAAGTTCAAAGGACACGAGTAACTGCTGGAAATGTTCCCCCGACACCAGCGTCGCTACTGGATTTACAGCTGCCTGACCGTTACCTTAGAGCGCACACCGGCGATGACTTCGTGCTGCATGACGCTGAGCCAGAGGCCGGCCAATTGAGATGCATTGTCTTCGCCAGTGCCGATAGCATGAGTATGCTTCGAGACGCCAAGTCGTTTCATATGGATGGAACGTTCAAATGTGTGCCACTACTGTTCTCGCAGCTGTATACAATTTTGGCAAGGAATGGTGAAGAAGTTCTTCCCGCTGCCTATTGTCTGCTGCCAAATAAGACGTCAGCCATGTATGAAAGGATATTCCAAGCCCTACTTAACCACACCCCAGGTCTCCAGCCCGATGCCATACATTGTGACTTTGAGATTGGGGCGATAAACGCTGCAAAGACCAAGTTCCCTGATGCCAATGTACGAGGATGCTTCTTCCACCTGAGCCAAAATGTGTATAAACGGATTCAAACAGCCGGCTTACAGGAGCGGTACGGCAATGATGTGGCGTTTGCCTTACGGATTCGAATGCTGACAGCCTTAGCGTTTGTCCGAGAAGCCGACGTTCCAGATTCTGGAGGACAAATTTCCCGAAGAAGCTGAGGAAGTTATCACTTACTTCGAAGAGTACTACATTGGACGGCTGAGGAACAACGGCACAAGGCGTACACCCCTATTCAGCCACGCCTTGTGGAACGTGCACAACGATGTGTTAAACAAGCAGCCAAGGACGAACAATGCACAGGAAGGGTGGCACCGTAGATTCGCAAGCCAAGTCAACTGCCACCACCCATCGATTTGGAAGATCATCACCAATATCGCTGATGAAGAGCAGCATGTGCACCAAAGACGGGAGCAGCTTGTTGCCGGCCATGCCGCCCCGGGACGAAAGAAGAGGTATGTGGACCGTGACGCGAAGATCCTCCGAATTGTCCAGTCTAACGACAACCGTGAACCGCTCGAATTCCTCAGAGGAATAGCCCACAACCTTTCGTTTCATGTCAGTGAATAAGCCTTCACCGCGTATACCGCAAGGTATTTTCACCAGAATTTGATTTTAATCATTGAACCAACGAAAAGTATCCACGTTTTCTCATGTGAATTGTTATACGTTGTTCATACATGCCTTCAACTTTAGTCTCCCTCTCTCTCTCTCTCTCACACTGGTGTTTGGTTTGTGATTATGTTGCTGATGGCTTACATGCCTTCTTACTTAAGGAGGTTCGCGACGGTTAGCGCCATGTTGGATTTCCGAATTTTTTTCTGAAAAATAATGCCTTTCGGAGTGGAAAAATGGGACGCGATCATGCACAATCGATTAAAAAAATAAGCAGTTTGACCATGACTTCGCAGCGCGTGCTCGAGTCGAGACAAGATTTGAGGAAGAAGCTCAGCCACTAGTGGACTTGCGGATTTGTTTTGACATCGGCGGTTTTTGGATAGCTTGGTTATCCTGCCGACGTGTCGTGGAGATGAAGACGCGGGAGAGTAATCTGTCACCCACGACGCGGCCTCGCATTCTGCGTACTGGACGATTCAAGAAGTAAAGCCGAGGAGGGGGACGCTTCGCAAGCTCAAACGATCGATCGAGTTCCTTAAAAACCGAAAGGGCGATCTCCACCACCAACGCCACTGGATTCGACTCCCGCGAAGAGGTCGTTCAGTGCCCCTCTTCACGGTCGACGAATCGTTCATCTCAGGTATCTGCCTCAGTGTGGGATTGTCTGCGTGCCAGAATCCTGGATGTGGCAAACCTCTGGCGCTCATTGATTGCGTTGAAGAGAAGAGGTACGGCCTGGGCAGCGTACTTGTCATTCCGTGTCAGCAGTGTGGGATGGAGAATTTTATAGATACAGATAGCCCTGTAACTGCTCAACACCCTGGCCCCCGTGCTTCCACAAGCAACACCAAAGCTGCTTTGGGTAAGTGTGTTTTTCAATCTCATAAGATTTATTCATGATATTTGGGAGTCATTACCACCCTATGGCTATGGAAATGTATGAGCACGCTGCATGCGCGGCGCGCGCGAGCGTGTGTGTGTTTGCATAGACCTGCATGTTTGTGCATGTGTGCACCATACGCATGTATGAACATGCACATGCATATGTGCTCATGTGGACGTGCCCTCGCATACATACTATACACACGTGCATGACCGCTCCCAGGGCATGTTGGTGTGACATTGTGTACTGTAAGACATGTTATTATAACGAGTCGCAAATTTAACGATTGTCCAAAATTCATAGGTTAACGAGAAGATATGTTAACGATCTTGCAGTATTCTGCCATATCCACACACAGCATATATGAAGCAGTACGGCCTCAACGGATCTTATTATAACGAAGAAATGTCATCCGTTAAAACGTTAGATTTGCTTCCTCGTTATATATACATGTCTTACAGTATGCGGGCATCTCCACTCATGCACATGAGTGTGCACATGCATGTGGGTGGGTACGTACACGTGCGTGGATGTATGTGTGTGTACGCGCGCGTGTGAGAGCATGTGTGTATGTGTGTGTGTGTGTGTGTATGCCCGCTGCTTTCGGACTGTGCAAGGCCGCGGTCGTCACCGGTGCTCGAGGACTGGCCCGCGCCCGACTGCCCAGCAGCGGCGTTCAGTCATGTATGTGTGTGTTCTCGCCGGTTGCGTTTGCTCCACCATCTCCGGCGTCATCAGGCTGCGTACTCCATCTTCCTCTCTGATGCCCCTCCGGGGGCCCACGTGACCCCTGTGGCAGTGGCTCTACAGGACAGGACAGGTGTGTGTGTGTGTGTGTGTGTGTATGTGTATGTGTGCACGCATGTGTGTGTCGATGGTGTGCATTTTTGTGCTGGGTGAACACTCTGATCCCTAAACCACGATACTGGAGCTCCCAAGCTACAGCCTCAGATTGATTTATAGTTCATCGTTGGGAATGAGTTCGCTGCTCATGATGCTGTTGCGGATCACGGTTGCGGCCCTAGCTGAAATTGTCGACTGAGCTCGCCCTGATGCCAGTATCCTGTAGTACTCTTGTCACTTTTGCATCAGCATGTTCGGCGGTGGAGTTTGCAGAACATCAGCAAAAGCGACTGGCCACCCTTCAACCGTTGGTACAAGCAACGTGCTTCTCTAAATCAGTTGCAGTGCGGGCAGCTGCTAGTGGGTTAGTGATGAAGCACTTTGTCTTGTCCTACAAACAAAATGGTGAGCCAGCCATTCCCAGACTGATGAAGAAGCAAGTCGGAGGTAAGAAGCGGATGACAGCCTCAAGGAAGATTATATTAGTGGTGGCTTAACAACTAGCCAAGAACCAGCAGCAACCCAACTGTAAGTCATGCTCTGTGGCACAGTGCTTCACTTGTTTGTGCGCACCGTAAAATACCATCATTTTTGTCCAGTGTGGGGACACGTTCTAGCTCGCATAGTTGAAGAACAAGAGGACTCAATGTTGTCTGATTCGTTCCAACATGCCAGCTTTCATTGTAGTTTGATATGGGGCAGTGCTAAGCGCTATCACAGCTACATGTACATGTATCAAAAGTCAAAACCAAGTACCAACAAGAGAATAATCATGGAGAAAAGTACCTATCGATAATGCGTGCACCCAGGGTTTTCCGGCAAATTCACTAGTTCAGCTATTCCATCCTTGTATTGTTCTGAACGCTAAGGGCTCTAGCGAGTTTATTCAACACCTAACAGCCAAAAATCCAATGAGTTATGACCAAAGCAGCAGCAGAGAAGTACACGCAATATAGATACGTGAATTTACCAATTTTAGGCAAATTTTGACAGTTTTTTGGATTTTTCTCCAGAATATGCACGGTGACCCCTATTTTCGCCGCGGTAAACCTGTTCCAACCCACTTATAGAACGTATTTGAAATATCCACATATGGGGCAAACTCAAAAATAAGCTGCAAAATATATTCAAAGTTTCATTTTTTGCGTCTTTTTGTTCTTCTCCAGGAAATGACGACCTGGATCCTATCGTCAACCAAAGTGTACATTTTTTGGTGTTGATATCATCTTAGTCAATACCTCTAACAGTCTGTATAATTTTATGTCATATTTTTGGTCCTATCTGGTGTTATGGACGATTTCTCATCAATTTTCGGATTTTGCAATATTTTGTGTTATCAAGGAAAATTGTGTTTTTGGCAAGACCTATTCAGGCAATTGAAAAACTGATGTTACTAAGCGAAAATATAAGGCTGTAGCTATTCAAACCTGATGTCAGATTGGGCTGATGTTGAAATTAATTTTTTGGGCCTAACTGTCCCGAACCCCCTTTTAAAGCTTCTTCTAGATACTGACACTGAGACTAGCTCTCTCTCTCTCTCTCTCTCTCTCTCTCTCTCTCTCTCTCTCTCTCTCTCTCTCTCTCTCTCTCTCTCTCTCTCTCTCTCTCTCTCTCTCTCTCTCTCTCTCTCTCTCTCTCTCTCTCTCTCTCTCTCTCTCTCTCTCTCTCTCTCTCTATCTCTATCTCTCTCTCTCTCTCTCTCTCTCTCTCTCTCTCTCTCTCTCTCTCTCTCTTCGATGGTGACAACCAGAAAGGATTTATGCCTGCAAAGGCTGGGTGCTTAGAGCATACATCACTTTGTTATGAGGCGATGCGTGATGCAAAGACGGCAAAACGCCAAATTTGCATTGCGTGGATAGATTTGAAGAATGCATTTGGTTCAGTGCGCCACAATCTGATACAGTATGCTCTAACCCACTACAGCCTTCCTTTGCAATTCAGGAAATTAATTTTTTCCTACTACGACAGTCTTTGCGCTTTCGTCGTACAACCACACACACCCACCTTTAATTACAACATTGGTGTTTTCCAGGGGTGCCCCTTGTCCCCGGTCCTTTTCAATATTTGTTTCCAGCTTCTGCTGGACTCACTTGCAGCCCCTGAATTAAGTTGCCTCTCCTATGATTTTAAATCTGCCCCTTTGCAAGTGTCCCAAACAGCTTTTGCTGATGACTTAGGCCTCTATAGCAAATCTAGTGCAGGTTGTCAAAAACTCATTGCGGTCACGGAGGACTTTCTCTCGTGGACCCAATGTATGCAGGCGGCGCCGCACAAATGCAAAAGCAGTGCAGCAAAGCTTGTAGATGGCCGGTACAAACCTTACGATCCCTGCCTGACAATGTCAGGGAGGAAGATCGCTTTCATTGACACTGCAGAGTTCAAGTTCCTGGGGCGAAGGCTGCATGCTGATTGCTCTGAGCAGACCCAGCGGGAAGACATCCGTCAACTCACTGTATCTCTCATGCAAAAAGTAGATGGCTCTTGGCTTCAAGACCACCACAAGCTATGGCTTTACCACCATCTTGTAGTGCCCAAGCTTTCTTGGTCTTTCCAGGTTCTTGAACTCACACAAGGTTTTGTACGTGAACTGCACTTTATGTGTTTACCATTTCTGAAGAAATGGTCAGGCCTACCTCGATGCGCAAACTCTGCCATTCTTTTTATTGGCAGTCGCAAACGCTTTGGCTTACGCCTCCACTACCTTCCTACGGTGTGGAAAAAGTGCCAGTCCATCAAATGGCACATTCTTCGATCGAGTGGGGACGCGCGCATGAGGGCGCTGTACACTCTGCGTCGGAGTAAGGATGCGAAGCTGACAAAGCGATATGCGGCGACAATAGAGCTGGAGTGTGCAGAGGCATCAGTAGGTTCAGGGACTCTCCGTCCACCGTCATCTTCAAGTCATCGTGCAGGGTTGGGTGCTCGTGCTCCGAAGCAGCATTCCAAACCCCCGAGGAAGGATCTCCTTCAAACATTTGAGGAGATCAACGCGCAGGAGCAGATTTTGAGGCTGAAGACTCTTCAGGTGCAAGGCAAGTGGTTGGAGTGGACATCGGTGATGTGGCAGGACCTCTCGTGGAAATCCCTTTTGTACGGTGGTACTGGTAAGGATTTGAAATTTCTTCTCGCATCAACCCTCGACGTGCTACCTTCTCCGACGAACCTACGCCGTTGGGGAAACACCGTAGTGGATCCGTACTGTAGTTTGTGCCGTACCTGGGCCTGTACTACGCGCCACGTGCTTGGCGCTTGTCGCGTAGCGCTGGACCAGGGACGTTACACCTGGAGGCACGACAACGTACTCGGGGTCATCGTCAGGAACATGCGTGAGGAGATTCGAATCCGCACTGCTGCAAACACCGTACAAACCGAAAATTCAAATGAGCTTGACTTCATCTCGTTTTGCAAGGCGGGAGAGAAGCCAGTTCGCGTTCAGCCCAGACGAAAGTTGGTTACGACTGATCTCCTGTCAGCGGCCTCAGACTGGAAACTTCTTGTCGACTCGGTTAGTGCAAAGATTTCTTTCCCTAGCTGTGTTGCACTTACCACCCTAAGACCAGATATTGTTCTGTACTCTACGAGTCGTAGGATTGTATTCTGGATGGAGTTGACAGTTTGTGCTGAGGACAGATTCAGTGTCAGTAACTCGCGGAAGGACAGGCGGTATGCGGATCTGGCCGATCAATGCCGAGCAAACGGGTGGCAGGTCGTTTCTTTTTCGGTTGAGGTAGGTGTGCGTGGTTTCATCCCGGACTCTCTTCGGAGGGCTCTGAAAGCGCTTGGATTTTCTAATCGAAGAATAAAATTTATTTGTAATTTGTGCAGTAAGACGTCTCTGCGAAGCAGCTACATCATCTGGTTGCGGCGTCAACAAAAACACTGGTCGGAAGATCCACTTTTCTGAGGTACTGTATGTGGGGCTCCGTTTATTGAGGTGCGTTGAAATTTATTCTCTTTATCTTATTATTTCTTTTCTATAATTTCCCCATATGAGTTCCTATCAGTTGCTGTGAACACCTTGAGTGGAGAGCGCTTGCTCGAGCGTTGAACCGGGTTCTTAATCCACCATACCCAGTTCGCAAGGCTGGGCGGGGTTGTGAGCAGGCTTTCATTTCATCTTTTCTTATTATTTCTTATTATTTCTGCTTTTCATCTCATTACAAAAATTCTGCGCTTTTTCTCCATCTGCGCATAAAATCTAGACTGACAACCTGCTTGTTAAATCATGCACCTGCTTTCAGGCGTAAAAACCCTGTTGTAGAGGTCTCAGTCCTCATTTGTTAGACTTACCTGTCTTTATAAATGTAACTTACTCTCTCTCTCTCTCTCTCTCTCTCTCTCTCTCTCTCTCTCTCTCTCTCTCTCTCTCTCTCTCTCTCTCTCTCTCTCTCTCTCTCTCTCTCTCTCTCTCTCTCTCTCTCTCTCTCTCTCTCTCTCTCTCTCTCTCTCTCTCTCTCTCTCTCTCTCTCTCTCTCTCTTGGAGACTGTGACATGTGTATTGCATCTGTACTGTACTGCAGGAGGCTACCGGGTTGAGGAACAGCTACACGTATCGCCCAATCATCAGGTCAACGGATTCCTCCGTTCATGGACAGCACGTGCACACGTACAGCTGCCAGAGGCACAACCGCAATGCCAGCCGAAAGTGGAACTGCAACTCCCCGTGATACAGAACTGCCATTGTTATAATAATAATTATTTGGTTTGACTGTGAGTCTGTCACTGCATTGATGTACAAAATACCTATACAATACTACACTATACTGTATTGTACTTTGAAGCAGTCGGTCTGTAGCTGTTCAGCTGTGGGAACATTGCAATGGCGCTTCGAAACGTCGGGGGTCCGAACTTCCCGGGTCCCAGTTGACGTGCGATGAATTGTCGTGGCAGCGAAGTGACGGGTTTCGAAATGTGTCCGCGACGAGACGGTTCTCGACGATATGACCTCTTCGAACTGACGCTCGTCGAAATGTCCCGCTCCCAAGTGACGTAGAACCCCTATGGCTGAATGTACAGCGAGACGGCTAGCACATGACTTTGTGTTTATTGTTATCAGCTAACACGTCAACGAAAAGTTCTAGCTGCTTACCTCTGCTTCCTTTGGCGAACGGAAACATAATTGCCATGGCTCTCCGACAGTAGCCGTCCTTGTCGAAGGTCCGCGTCTGCTCATCCTTTCCTAGGAGAGTGCGATGACAAGAGAGGACGGCTGCCGGATCTCGCTGCAGCAATGCGTGCTTGGCGCGTGTCGAACTGTCAAGGTGATTGACTTCGGTAGCTGTACCGGGCTTTAGCTTTTCGTCGCACGACAACATCGTCTTAGTTTCTCCGTTGGGTGCAGCGGACAGGAACCGGGGATGATCGGAATGGCCAGAACCTGAAGCAAGAGCTGACCTGTCCGTAATCGTTGATTATCGAATTTCAATGGGAAACACTTCTCAAGACACTTCTTGCACAGAATTTACTTGCACTGAACAACAAACTAGTATTGTGAACTCTTCTTCACTCATCCGTGGCGACAACTTCTGGGACCTCTCTCCTTCTAACTATGTTACTTGCATATAAGTATGTAGGGCTAAGGCCTATCCACGCGTAGGTCTACGATGTCAGTTTTAGCTCCCTGCATGCGTTCGCCCACAATTCTTCGCGGGTCAGAAAGAAATACTACTAGTTGGGAACACCACGCAATGACTATGTACACTGACTACAGGAAATAAAACCTCGTAAAAGACCTCGGCTTAGCCTCGGTCTTTTACTCGGCTTTTATTTCCTATAAATAGTATAATGCAAACAAACTATACCATTGGCATTGCGTACAACGATGTTGCCTTTGTTCGAGTAGAAGTAGTCTACCACCGATCAATCAATTTTTGCGTGCATATCTTTTAATCCTACTTTGGAAACAGACTTTTTCACGCACTCTTCTGCGATTTGTTTGCTGTATTTGGTTATATATTGCTAGCATAAAACGCCCTAAACTAGCATAAAAAAGCATTAACGAGCATAATATCCTGCTTTTGCTGGCATTCTGAAAAGCATAATCGGCTGAGTTTACTAGCATTACCCGCTGATGCCTACCCACGACTGCCATCCAGAGCAAAGGATAAGTCCATCGAACCGTCCACACTGGTGTTCACGAGGTGTTACTAACCGTGTTAGTCGCGCTGGAAACGGAGCGTCTCTGTAAGTTTGTATCCCTGGTGATGTTTTTGCCTGGAGAGCAATATAAGTGGTGCTCTTCCTCAGCCTACTCAAGCTCAACTGATGAGGGGTGAATTCCCCGAAATGCGGTGTATTGAGCAGGGAGTGGTGCTTTCTTCCAGGTTGGCTGAGTGGACGATTCGATGGACTTCTCGTGTGCTCCGGATGGCAGTCGTGAGTAGCCCTTGGCGGATTATGCCGGCATAATATTTGGCATAATCTTGGGATTTCGTCAAAAAATTATGCTCCGGCATAATACGGATTACAACGTGTAAGGTCAGCATAATCTTTCGGTTTAGACAAAAATTATGCTTAGGGCATAATACAGCTTTGTCAGAAAGCCTGCAGATTTTTTTACCATAGTGATAGTTTCATGTCCAAGTCTTTTAAAGTATGCATGTCTTACCGCGCGCACGTGTGCTGCAAAAGTGAAATATGGGAGAAAAGTGCAAAAGTGCACAGAGCCCCCCCCCCCCCCCCCTGCTTATCTGCAAAAGACCGTGAGCGCCTATTTGCTGTTCACCGTCGAGCGATCCGAGCTGCCTGTGCATGTGATGCCCATTACTGTGCTGACGTGGACCCCCTTTACCACTCTCGCTATGTCCTCTGGACCACCGTTTCTTACAGTTGTTCATTAAATTTATCTTTCAGTGTAAAGTAGCTCACCCGGTTGCCAGTTTAGATTCTCTATTTTGTAGGCACAGTAGACCTGCTTACACCACTCGCGGCTCTTCTGCAAATAATCTTTCGTTATGCCGATATAAGACTGCATGCGTGTATCGCTCATTGTCTAGTAGGATTGCTTTACTTTGGAATGCTCTGCCCTTTGAAATGAAGTCTTGCAATACGTCTTCTGCATTTAACGCCCATCTTGCCTGCCTTCTTAATGACAGGCCACAATGTACCCGGTTGAAACAGCTCCTTTTTGAAAATGTTTTCAATGAGTGATGTGTCGCTTTGTTTTGCTCTAATTGGTGCTTTTCTCCAATGTCATGCAGTCGTATTTATTCAGCTTTTATTTCTTGTGTACTTGCATACTGATATTAGTTTAGTCCCACAACCTGCGATAAAATGATCAGCTGTAGCACCTACTCCACTTTTATGTTTATGTATCTATGTCATTCGGATCTTCCCAACAATGTACTGTTGAGATACCGAATTCAAATAAATCAACACCAATACCAGAGGTCGCGTCCTGAACTCCTGATGTCGTCACCTCGGAAGCCACGCATGCGAAAACCATGCGCGCACGTGCGCTGCAAAAGTGAAATATGGGAGAAAAGTGCACAGAGATCGCGTCCTGAACTCCTGATGTCGTCACCTCGGAAGCCACGCATGCGAAAACCATGCATGCATACATGTTTTTAATCTGAAAAGGCCGTTGCTTTTCCTTCGAAAATAGGGAGTCTTGGTCTGATCAAGAGTACAGTCTGTATCGGCTATAGAGTGACCGGATATAAGAATATATCGGCTACAGTGATATTGGTACGAAAGATCAAAAGCAAAACGTATTTTATCCAGTACAAATATCACTATAACCAATATTATCGGATGTAATGATATATCGGATATTATGATGGCAACAAAGAATCAAAACATGCATAACACACTACATTATTATCGGCTATAGTGATAACTTTAAAATACATGTAGCAATAATATCAAGGACCCAATCTTTTTACTTTCTTCACGTTGCTTATTTTTATAGTAATACATGTACATGTACATAACAGAATTTGTTATGGAAATGCGGGCACTGTCAACTATGCAGCATGCTCATTTTGTCAAAACGCCATGCTGGAAGTATTTCCTTGCCTTTCATGTGTCGATCGAAAAAAATCCATCGTATCGCATATAGTGATGCATCGGTTATAGTGATATAATCACGGAAATCAAAAGGGTACGCTATAGCCGATACAGACTGTAGTATAGATAAACAAGAGTGTGCAACTCCGGATCTCTCCTGCACAATCTGCAGATACCCCCGCCCACGGCGGAATTTTTTGTTGACGTCACCTTTTTTCAGAGAAACGCGCAGTTTGCCGCAGAGCAGTGTGAGAGCACGTGCTGGACACCGACCTTGTAGTGTAAAGCCCGGCCAAGAGCACGAGGGAAAACTTTCCGAAAGACTCGCAGCGCGTGCGTCGTCGAAAAGATTACGTCAACAAAAAATTCCGCCGTGGGCCAACCCATCCGCGAGTTGCACACTCTTGTTTATCTACTCTTGGTCTGATGCTATGGATATGGAGGGCATAATTCAGCATATTTGTTGGCATAATTGTGGCATAATCAAAAGCATAATTTGACGATTGGCCGAGCATAGTCCGCCAATGGCTAGTCGTGAGTAGCCCTTTCCCAAAGGTGCTCTTTTAATTCGCACTTATAATAATTATGTAGTCTGACCCTTGGTTACTCCTGATACTGAGCGAATGATTGCAGACAGTGCTGACCAGGATGCGGAGCATAATTATGACAGGGCAGTGGTCCGTCAGTGGCATCCCCACAATGTATTGTCAAATACATTAGGTGCATTTGATAAAACCAAATCTAGTGATGGATTCGAATGGCTGGACGGTCGAGTGCCACAATTCTTGGACACCAGACTCAAGCCAAGATCATTGAAAACAGAATTTAGCGTACGACCGTCTGTATTTGTTCTATCGTTCGTGTTCCACTCCTCATTTCGGGCATTGAAGTCTCCTGCAACCACTAGTGGGCTTTCGTCCACCAGGACCACCACCTCAGACAAAACCGAGAATGCAGGCTTGAAAGAGGAGGTGTGATGACGTGGTGGCCGGTACATGCATGAAATAATGATACCATTCACTTGAAGTGTGATCATTTCTGATGACTGGTGCTCTAGGTCCGTGCGACGGCGTGCTGAGAGGTGTGACGCGCACAGTATGGCAACTCCTCCACCTCCGAGTGTGTTCCAACTAAATTATTACTTGCTTGAACACTGTCCCTGTCCCGTCGGTGAAGCTCGAACTCTGGAACTGATACTATTTCGTCGGGTGTAGTGCTATTTAGCCATGTTTCCGTCAAGCAGAGGACATCGATGTGGTGCTGCTCAATCAAGTCGATGAGTTGAACTAATGTTGACTGCATGCTGCGACAGTTCAGAGTGCATATGACCAAAGAGCCTGAATGCATGGTGCTATTCTGCAAACTAATGTTGTGGTGGAGTGGTGTAGTATGTACATGGGAAATAGAAGAAGGGGAGGGGTGCTCATCACATGCATTTATATGGGAGAAGTGAGTAAAATTATTAATGGGACTAGTATATACACTGACAGCGGGATCACTTGTGGAGAGTAGACCTGTAATCGGTATCATCGATAATCGAATCAATATAGGGATAGGTTTAGGCCTTGAGGGATTATGCTAGCATAATTTTTCGCATAATTCGAGGCAAATTGCATACGAATCGCATAAATTGGAATAATCCGCCTGCTCGCATCAAATTCCATACAGTTGTACATATTCTACAAGTACAAGTACAAGTGCATGTGTGTAAAAATTTAATAACAATAATAATGTACATGTAGATGCACCAGGAAGTCGTAGGTTTACGACTCCATTGATAACATGTCCAGTCCACTACAATCAGTGACGGTCGTAGCTAGGTCGGACGGTGCGTTGACCCCGTTGAACTTTTGCTACTACTGTACAGTACAACGCCCTCTACTAGGCCTTGACAGATTATGCTAGTATAATTTTTCGCATAATTCCTACCAAAATCGAATAATCGCATAATTCGAGGCAAATATTAATTGATTACCAATCGCATAAATTGGAATAATCCGCCTGTTCGCATCAAATTCCATACAGTTGTACATATTTTACAAGTACAAGTACAAGTAGATGCACCAGGAAGTCGTAGGTTTACGACTCCCTTGATAACATTGTCCAGTCCACTACTATCAGT